AAATCAATATGATTTATCATATAAATTCAAGTAATGATAAGACTAGTACAAAAAGCCAGAATTTCTTATCAGATTTTATATCCAATCTGTAGACTAAGTGCCGAGCTTTTATCACCTCTTACACAAGACAAGTTTTTAAAATCTAACATCTTTTATCAACGTGACTTGGTAGTGCATACTTCGCTAACGTTTTATTGATTGATCACAAATATAGATATTTAACATTTTTTTTATTACGTGGTGTCTCGTGTCTATCAAGATCCATTTATATCAACACATTGGATAAATTAGACGAACCAACGACCTACAGTAACAATAAAAATATATCCTTTGACATTTGATTCTAATCTGAGATGTTTGGGGACTATTTCTGTGTGAATGATGAAAGTATGATATATGTGGAGTGTGAGAGCCCTCCTGTGAGAGGACACGTTTTGTAAACATGAAGGCTGACCCCAGGTCTCGAACTCTGGTAGTCTTCTAACATATACATGTCAGGCAACTAAAAGTTGGTCTGAAAAAAAATTCAGAATGACATATTTTATATTTGATCAAGGGTCGCGTCCATATAAAGATACAGAAAGTACAGAATAAAAGACCGCATGCAACAAATTAAACCTAGTGCGAATTTTGAGAAAAGCAAGGGCGCTAAAATGGATAATTTGGTATTTTATATCTAAGTAGACAGACGTGCTTTCTGCTCCTTAGCATACATAGCAATGCTATTGTTTACCTTATTCTCATTTGAAAACGTGACATTCCTTTCTTGAATTGACCTAGAATTACATCGGGGGTTTATACCATGAAAATAAAAAACTTTCACTTCCTGAACAAGTACGTTTATGATATCAAAGCCTGATCTTATTCTATTAGTATTTTTCTGGGGTCTCCGTGTAGTTTTTTCTTTTCATCACATTTCAAAGTTTGATCGAGTTTGACTTCAGAATATGTTCATGAACTACAAGTATGATAAATAGCAACAAGAACAAAACTAAAAAAAAAATACTTTTAGTTTCAATCCACTTAGTGGACGGTTTAAGATTTCAGATTAACAAAAACTTTAAGTCTTTATCAAAACAATGGTCATTTAAAGATTTCAAATTAACAAATGCTTTTAGTTGTAATGAAATTACTGGACGTTATCAGATTTCAAATTAATATATAGTTTTAGTTTTCAAATCAACTAATGGATGTTTTAAGATTTCAAATTAACAGATGTTTTTAGTAGCAATCAAATTATTGGGCGTTGTCAGATTCAAATGAACAGAAAAATGATTTCGTTTTTTTAACAATCCTGTAATTTTAGTGAATTTGCAAGTGAAATAAATTGACAAAATCTGAATATATAATTCAGTCCTTATTTACCTAATTACAACAACAAATTTGTAAAATCTGTAGAATGCAAAATCAAAAAGATATAAAAACATATTTCCTTTTTAATAAAATGAGTTTATTTCAATGTAGGACTCTTTATGTACTTCATATTGGTATATTTGAGACATTTTAAAATGAAATGCACTCTAATAGTTTCAATATAATGATAATCTGTTTCTCTCAATAAACAGATCTAACAAATTATATAAACTATATTAGACATCTATGGAACATGGATACAAATAAAACTAGCATCATTGATACAATAATATTATCCTTATATTAAATCTATTATCATAACAATAACTGACATAGACTAGATAAGATAATTATCAGTGAAAAACAAATGTAAATATATGCTGTAACATCATTGTAATTATAACACTGAAAATGTCTGGTTATCCATACTTATAAAAATATACATACAGCATAAATTAATATCATGTCAGAAGTTTTATGATATATGGTAATCATATAATCAATTTTCATTTTGCTTTAGGATATTTCACTGTTCTTTCAAAATATTTAAATTTTTGGCATATAAAAGTTTAAAATATGAAAATGATGAGCATTGTTTAATAAGTTTTATAATTTCTTTTTCCATTTCAGTTCATCTTCTTTCTCTTGATTTCATTTTTCACAAACTTTCTGACCTTTTTCTCACAATGAAATATTTTTTTAAAAATTTACAAGCAGAAAATAACTTAAAAAAAATTGTTAATACAGTGAAAATAAACACTCTACCAGGACAAGAAAATTTAGAACTGGTTACATGAAGATTTTAAGATGTGACAAGGTTAATGAACAAGCTTACTTCTGATAAGACAAGGTTAATGAACAAGCTTACTTCTGATAAGACAAGGTGAATGAACAAGCTTACTTCTGATAAGACAAGGTTAATGAACAAGCTTACTTCTGATAAGAAATTCTTCTGTTGCTGACAAGACTGAAGTACTGAAATCTGATTGAGTGTTGTCAGTGCATGCACATCACATGTCAGCTGAAAAAAGGGTCCCAGTTTGGAGTGCGAGGAAAATCTTCTGTTACGAAACGTAATGACTGCAAGTTTGCGAATGATAGAATCTAATTTGTCCATTCTCAAATTGAAAGCAAGACAGGATGATATCCACATGGATATGTGATATTTTACAACGCTGGAATGAAGAATATCACAGCTGTAACAAGGAATACACAAGAATCATTCATCAAACAACAGTTTACATAGAGATCTCTATTATTCACAGGAGTTTTGCCTGCAACTTTAAGTGTCATTATATGAACAGTGCCAACTTAAAATTGTTGAAAAACATCCTTTGTATTTTGTGAAAACATACATTTGTATTTAAAAGATATTTTCATAATTTTAAAAATAAACTTACTCTCGTTGTCAACACAGATAAGCTCACTTCTTCATTTTTGTGTAGTCAATAATCTTAAAAACGCAGGCTACAAGTAGTTCACAAATAAGCACTCCCCAAAACTTAATATTTACCTTTCACACAATGAGGTGGGGACAAATGTAATTGGAGATAAATATGAAATATATTACAAACCAAGGTGGTTTATCAATTGTAACATCGTTTATGTATAACATGCAAATATTAATGCTTCATTATGAGGCATTTGAAAAATAGATTAACAAACAGTCAAGTGTAAATGCTAAAATTCAGTTTAGATATTGAGATTCAGTTCGCTTAAGAATTAACCACTTAAAATCTTTTTTAAATAATGCAGTTTTAAGGAATCAAGTAGCAGATAACAATATCACAGTCACTTTATATAATTGTAAACAACCAGATCACAGTCACTTAGCTATATACATAAAAAAATATCACAGACATGCTCAGAGAATCCTCAAGCTTACTTCCTCTTCAATAAATTTATTATTCAATTGTAAAATCACAAAGAAAGTTCATGACTCCGGACCTTAAGGTGCTAATGAAGGCAGATTTCACTGCTTGAAAAATCCATAGATAAAGATTCATTATCAGAGCACTTAATAAATATCAGAAAAACATTTTAATGTCCAACTAAAGTGTGCAGGAGGTAAACAAGGCATTTAAGATACTTTTAAATCACAAATTTTGGATATTCAAACCTGCTTAAAAGCCCATATGTATAAAACAAATATTTGTCTATAAAGGCCACCTGTATATAACAATATCTATCTATAAAAGACACTGTTATATACTACATATCTATAGAGGTCACTTGTATAAAACAAATACCTGTCTATAAAGGACAATTTTATATACTACTTGTCTATAGAGGTCACTTGTATAAAACAAATACCTGTCTATAAAGGCCACCTGTATAAAACAAATACCTGTCTATAAAGGACACTGTTATATACTACTTGTCTAAAGAGGTCACTTGTACATAACAAAATACCTGTCTATAAAGGACACCTGTATAAAACAAATACCTGTTTATAAAGGACACTGTTATATACTACTTGTCTAAAGAGGTCACTTGTACATAACAAAATACCTGTCTATAAAGGACACCTGTATAAAACAAATACCTGTCTATAAAGGACACTGTTATATACTACTGGTCTAAAGAGGTCACTTGTACATAACAAATACCTGTCTATAAAGTCACCTGTATAAAACAAATACCTGTCTATAAAGAACACTGTTATATACTACTTGTCTAAAGAGGTCACTTGTACATAACAAATACCTGTCTATAAAGCCACCTGTATAAAACAAATACCTGTCTATAAAGGACACTTTTATATACTACTTGTCTATAGAGGTCACTTGTACATAACAATTACCTGTCTTCAAAGACCTCTAGTTTCTGGTTTAAATATACAGATGTAATACAGCATTTGGTAAATGAACCTTCGAAAGAACACAGCATTAATTTTCTCTGCTACCTTGAGTGGCCTTTCTACACAGGTTTCACTGAAACTAATTCATTTCATAGAAATTTTCTTTACAGTGTCAGAGTTAAAATCTTTTCATAGAGGTAAGGACAACATTATCAAATATCAAGTATCTTTGATGCATGGAAAGGCTAGATAGTGGAATACTGAGCCCTTGCAAGTTGGTAGGATCAGAGAATAATTGTAAATACAGGACTACCATTCACTGGCTATCAATCTTTAGATACCAGACAAATGGTCAACAATGGGACTCCTAAAACAATCTAGTTACGATATCCAAACTTTTATCCCCAAAAGGTTGAACGTCTTTCTTGAATAGACTTTTCTTGCCTCTTCATTTTTTGGTCGTTCATATATCCTACACCAGGATTCCTGGGGACAAGTAGATATTTTACTGGGACAACCCTTAGTAATAACTTAAAATAACATATATATATATATATATCTATTTTATAAATCAAAATTGTGTTTTAACAGTATCAAAATAATATACCACAGTACAAAACACAAAATTCTGCCTACCATATACACCTGTACATAAGTCACATTGTATACATACATTAAACAATCTTGACTATCACAACAAAGATGTTTAAATCACTTATTTCTATAATACATAACATAAATATATGATATTTAATCTACACCCAATATCCCTTTATCTTTCCACTGAAACCATTTTGACAATAATAAATATACCGGTATTTCTAACTTAACAAGATTTCTACTGATTGAAGTTTATGGGCCACATGTATTTATATAAAGCCAATTGATATATATATATGTAGACAAACACTATATTGTTGTCCTGTGGCAAGCCCTTCCATAAAATATGAAACATAACTTATATTTTTACCTTCTGAGATAGTATCCTATATCACATCATTGGCTATTAGTCACTGTATATACACATGCAGTATTATACATAGTGTGATATAACCTATTATGATGTCAGGTTTAGATAATAAAACAATTTCACACTCACAGCTCACTTAAAAGAAAATTATTTCTGATTAACAGGGTGAGGGATTTTCTTTAAAAATTAAGGAATTTTCCATTCACAAAATACCTTTTAATATGTAAAATTTCCACTGAAAATCTGAATGCAATATAGAAACAGTTTACTGTACACAGATTAACATTTTAGAGTTGTAATGTGAAAAAGGAAACATTTTTGAAGCACCATAAAAACAATGACAGTCATACATCTGGGTCTTGTCCAGTGGGGTCACGACCTCCTGGCTTATGACTTTTCAGATAGCCCCGCCTACAATGATAGAAACGTGTGCTGTTGATTGATAGTTAATGCAACAAAAATTTGTGTTGACAAATCAGTACCAATTAAAATTAATCATCAGTCTCAATAGAAAGCAAATCTATCAACTAAAAAAGCTAACAAAGCTATTATTAAGAAAGATCTTTCACATACATGGTATAGTATTATTTCTAAGTTAAAGAAAATAGCACAGGGAAAAATAAATTTAGCCTTAATATATATCTTAAGTTCTGAAAAAAAACCCATAATTTTCATTTAGATGTTACTTCAAATCTGCTTCAAATTCGATGATAAAGTTATTTGACAAACAAATTTGAAACCTATTTGAACAAGTCCCATAACTCTGTAAATGTTGACTGATTTGTACTTATATCTAAGTTAACTAGTTTGAGATGTTATTGATGTAAAGCAATATACTAAACATGGTATAATTCTGATGGAAAAATTGAATAACTTATAAGAAGAAACCCTAACACAGACCGAAAGACAAACAGACAGACAGCAAAAATATTATGCCGAGTCAGAAATAAATAAAAAAACCCACATAAAAGTCAACAGCAAATTTGGAAAAACATTCTGGTTAAAATGTATATTCAGGGTAAATTCATCTTCAAAATTCTTCAAAGTTTCAAGCCAGTGCAGAATAAAAAATCTAAAGGACACATCATTAAACAGGTACATCTTCAAGAAATTATATCATATTTGTTTCCTTTATAAAATGTACTGTATACATGGAAATCTTTTTAGGGATTTTCTTTTAAAACGATTGAATAATATTTGTTACGATTCAAAATCCTTCTTAATGTATGTAAAGAGACATCTAATACAAACGCCTCTCTATTTCACAGATCTAATCTTTGTGGTCACCTAAGTGTACCTGAAATGGTGGCAATATCATCCCCAGGAATAGAACCTAGTGTACTGTATTTAATTTGAATACTGATAATGTAAAAAAGTTATATGCTTTCAGACTGAACTGTTCAATATCAAAAGTGATATGCTTTCAGATTGAATTGTTCAATACTCACAGTAATGTGTTCGTTTGCTGAAGATCTGCAATCTTTGCCTCTGTTCTTTCCATCCACTCTTTGTATTTTTCACCCCATGCTCTGTTAATCTACAAACACATCACAATGATTAAGACAACCGTCTGTTGACAGTCTTTCTATTTTCACATTAGACTTGACAATAAGATATTTTTTTTTATGTGGTATTCTATCATTTTGTGATGTTTACTAGTAATAATCCATTACAAACACTGTTTTAAGTACCAGATTAGAGAAAACTTGAGAAGTACACGTACAGGGATAAGATTTCCTGGATAACCAATTCATTCCATATTTGCTTCATTCGCATTACAACAGGAAATTTTGTGAATTTAAAATGTGCAATAACTTGGAAACATTTCTCTTACTGGTCAAAACTAAGTTATAATCATCACTGAAAGAATCATACTGATTTATATATAAGATTCTTTATAGCATCATTGTAGTGATGATATAAGTTTTTTTTAAATTTCTAAATTTCAATGGAAAAAGTGATGTAATAATATACCCGAGACAGAAATGAATATTTATATACAAGTTGGAAACACACTTTAATGGAGCTTTTGTAAAAGTCATAAAGAGTAAAGCACTGCAAACTCAACAAAAATAAAGATTCTTTATCTACATTTATTACCTCTTTACAATGAATACTTTTCAAACTAATTAATTAATAAAATATCAGTCATACAAGCTGAACATAATGGTAGAAGGAAGACAATTTTTAAAAGCAAAAGAATATTTGTATATCGGTATTTCTTTTCTGACTTTCAACAACTTCCATATAAACACATGTATGAACAAACTCAGCTAAGAACTTCTACCAAAAATTTATTGTGATTCCATCAATTATTAGCATCCAAGCCCCAGTCGTTCAAAGCTTCATTAGAGTTCGCCAGCTGCTCGTGAAAAATTTTAATAGCTGCCACTAAAAAAATGGAATTTCATCAGGGAAATATTAGACACTCAAAAATCGTTTATCTGACCTGCCTCACTAAATCTATAGCTGTGAAATGATTACTAATGCTATCAATTTTGATTCTTTTATATCTGAATTTTTCACTAATCATTTATTAACACTATCCAAGCTAAATTTTACAATGTGAAGAAAAGCAAACTATTTTATAACAAATTAATTTTGACTCTGAACTGGAAAAAAGTACCTGTATCTTGAGTTTCTCCTCCATTTCACACCACTTGGCCTCCTTGACACTGAGATCTATGACAAGGGAGGTAACTCTATCCTTCAGATCTGTATTTTCTATCATTAATGCTGCATTGTCTGCCTCTAAGCTACAGACCTGTCTCCGTAAAGCTTCAATCTCAGCTTCATGGTCACATGAAGTTTCCTGAAAAATATTGTGTATAAGCTTGTACTTATTATGTCAGGTTTTGTCGGTGCAGCAGAGATACATACTCTGCTTCATCAGACAGAAATATGCACACAATCAAATAAGGTAAAATATCTTTCTTGTCAGGGTAAGACAGCCTGCACACACAGAGAACATAATCATATGCTAAATCAGATGAGAATAAATTTGAGACATAAAAAATATTACTAATTAATGTTGATAGTTTTAGATAGTTTAATGTTATTGTAAGACAGTATCTCATCTTTTCTGTTTAAACAAACTAATTCTAAATGCATTATGGCACTGATTTATCATTACAATTGTTTGTAACATGTGTAACGTAGATTACAAATCGTTCAATATAAAAGTCAGTATTGGTCTGATTTTGTTTCAATAGTAATGTTTTATCATTCTATTTCTAGTATGATGTTAAGGGGCAGAAAAATAATCATTCCCTAGTTTGAAGGTAAGACAGAAACATCTCTACCCTCAGAGGAGATTCCAGAAAGGCTAAACCTCAGCAAAGCCTTGGGTTAGACAGTCTTGAATCTCCTCCTCAGGGAGACAGTGGTACAGTCATGAATCAACTCCTCAGGGAGACAGGTGTGAATCTCTTCCTCAGGGAGACAGTTGTGAACCTCCTCCTCAGGGAGACAGTCGGGAATCTCCTCCTCAGGGAGACAGTCATGAATCTCTTCCTCAGGAAGACAGTTGTGAATCTCTTCCTTAGGGAGAGATTTCTCTGTCCTACCTTCTAGTTAGGAAGAAATCCCATTTATCTTCCTGTCTAATATATTTGTTATTTTTTTATTATTTTTTAAAAAGTAGGTGACATTTAAACTAGAACTCACACGTAGATTAATCACTGCATAGACATTGGTAATGAACTACTTGAAAATATGAGGACAAGTTATTTCCTGGAAGATGGGTATGTAACTAAATACTAGCTGCATTATAGAGCTCAGCTAGAGAGCATAAGACGAACAAACCAGAGGTCATGGGTTCAAATAACAGTGGAGCCATGAAAATAATCAATGACCTCTGTCACAGAAATCTACACCACTACACCAAAGAAATAAAATCTAGAACTATTCACATCTAAATTAAATCTAATATATGGCTTGATAATAACTTGGGTAATACCAGACCTGTTTTTTCAACAGTTCAATCTCGGCAGCAAATTTTTTCCGGAGTTCTTCTATTTCAGCATCATGATTGTTTACTGGAATATTTGGAGCTGGTGCTGGTGCCGCCTTTACTGTAGCCTCCCTGTGAAATATTGAGGATACATTGATATTGAAAAAGTAGATACCTTGAAAATTACAAAAAAACAGTGGTCTCTTTTATGAGTTTTAGAACAAATACACCCATTTACAAGCTTTTGGTAAAAACCACAAAAATCTTACTTATTGAAAAAAGCCACCTTCACAGTCTATAACTCATTCATCTTATTTAGGCTGAAGAGACATTAACTGGAAAAAACATAACAGACATGAATGCATGCTCTCCCATGTATATTTGATGGTTCTCTACAGATAGCATATATTGGTGACCCTGATATTGACCTTTGAACCCTGAAACAGAAAGTGATTCAACGTATTCACACAGTTACTTTATCACATAGTTTGATTGTGCAGATTTCCGTCAAATGTCAGATTGTTTCACTGAATTAATCATTACATGTACTTTCAACCAAAAATATTAGTGACCTTGACCTTTGCCTTGAAACCTAAAACACGGTTATCTGAGGTATTGTTTCAGTTGACCTTTATATGAAGTTTGATAATAACTAGAAAATGTCTGTAAGACATGAATGCCCCCGTCCCCCCATGTGAAATAATAGTGAAAGGTCCGAATGAAGTTGTTAGGTGGTATATACTGATTTGGGACGGGACGGGACAGGACGGGACGGGACGGGATGGACGGACATGGGCATAAATGGCGGGGGCATAAAAAAATGAAATTTGAGAGGTGGAGTTTCTTCAGTAATTTAATTGATTTTGGACAGGATCACAGAGTCTAACCAAAGCAGATCTGAGGAGAAATTTGAAAAGATGGCAGTCATGTTAAAAGTAATATACTTTCAACATATGATCATTACAGGAAGTTTTAAACCCCATGAAAATCCTTATTATGTCCATAAGCAAATTAAGCATTCTAAATCTGGTACAGGCTGATAAAGTACCATATTTTTCAGGCTATAAACTGCATCTGAGTATAAGCTACAGGACTGGTTTTTCAATTTAATTCACATATAAGTCACACTTGGATATAAGCAGCATCATATCTTACAATGTAATAAACGTTATATTGACCAAAGTTTGTTGAAAACAACAGAAGGAAACAACAGAAGGCAATTCATTAAGTTCATCAATGAAACATTTAATACAAGTTTGCAAATTAATTATACACAGACAATCCTTTTTTCATTGACGTGTTTCACAAACATAAATAGCAGTTACTGAATTTGTTTGGCTTGGAAACCTTCAAAGATTTTCTACACACATATATAGGGCCTCACTTGACGTACGGTTTACTTAACATGATCTCCATCTGTGTCTGTACTGTTGAATATTAGCAAAGGCCCTTGCATGCTGAAAAAACTCTTATAGTTTTGTATTATTTCTTGTAATTTAAGTTACATGAAGCCTTTGTTATGGTAAACAAGCAGCTTATAACCCGGAATATATGACAAGTCAAATACAAATGTTCATGGATGAACACCTGCACTAATATAACTGAAAAATTAAACTGATCTTTCTTACAGCATTTTTTTTAACACTCCTTCTTGCCTTCTAGATATCTGACAGCTTAGTACACTTTGATTCTACTACACTTTTTGTTTGCTGGGTATGCTGCCTAACAGCCAGGGTCAATTAGAAACTAGGTCTCTGTTTAGTAGCTGGTGAATATTTCACAAAACAACACACGGGAAGCCTGTTGGATGCTAAAACAAAAAGGGTAACATGCCTTGCCAAACAACACCATCACTACAACACAACACTGTGCATTTTTTTTTTTGATCAGCTACCTGACAAACAAAAATCTCACTGGGGAGAAAACTGAACCACATACCTCTTGTCTTCACCTATATGAATATATTTTTTCCTTGCTTTCCTCAATGTAACCACACCTGATCAAACTTTACCATTTACCAAAGGGCGTTCAAACTTTACCGTTTACCAAAGGGCGTTCAAACTTTACCGTTTACCGTTTACCGAAGAAACCAAACCATTGTCCGTTACCCCTTCCCACCTCTTCATTCTATCCTTATCCTTCTGAAATTCTCCCCTTTGACAGAATATATTTTTTCCTTGCTTTCCTCAATGTAATCACACCTGATCAAACTTTACCATTTACTAATGGGCGTTCAAACTTTACCGTTTACCAAAGGGCGTTCAAACTTTACCGTTTACCGAAGGGCGTTCAAACTTTACCGTTTACCGAAGGGCGTTCAAACTTTACCGTTTACCGAAGGGCGTTCAAACTTTACCGTTTACTAAAGGGTGTTCAAAATTTATGGTTTACTAAGGGAGATCAAACTTTACCGTTTACTAAAGGGTGTGCCCACTTCTAGTATCTCTCTCTCCCTCTTCAGGACTGTTGTATTTTTTGCTTTTCTTAGATCATCTAACCGTTTTCTTAGACTTGATACTTCATCTTCCAGCTTAAGAAAAAGAACAAAGAAAATCAAACCTTAAAAGATATATAGAAAAAGAACAAAGAAAATCAAACCTTAAAAGATATAATTTAACAAAAAAAAATAAGAAAATAAAATAGTGACATGGTATTATAAGCTCTCTGTAATTCAAATTTATTATCTATTGGATCTTCATAAAATCTGCTGGAATGAATTCCAAATATTTTTAGCATTATGTTTTTCTAATGTTTGTATTGCGTGTGAATATTTTTTTTTTTTTTTTAAATCTTTCAACAAATAAACAATGATCAATATAAGTTGGAAAAATTGTTTCATAATTGTTGTAAAATAAAGTAATACTAATTATAATGGAGACCATTACATATGTCTCCTAAACAACCACACATGAGTAATTGATTTAAGCTGCCTTTCATACACAAACACTCATGTAAAGTTAACTTAAATTCAACACAAAAATTTTTAAGAAATGTGTCAGGAAACTTGTCAGCAGAAGAAAGTGGAAGAACTTAGTATAACATAAGAAAAAATGCAGTGCAATTGATATGCCTCCTTCTACATATAGGGAATACAATACAAAACAAAAGTTTAAAATTTTAACAAAGAATTTAATACTAAATTGAACTTTCAAAGAATTTAAAACCAAATTGTAATACATTATGTCTTCTCTAAAGATAGAAGATCATGTTACAGTTCAATCACAGATAAAAAAAAAACTGATCTTGAAAATACAAACCTCTTTAACTCTCTGTTTGAGGATGACCTCATTATGTTTGCTGTTACTGGTTAAGGCTAACTTCTTGCTCGTAGCCATTGGCCCCACTTTTTCACCCTCTGAAATGATACAATTACAAATTATAAACAGTTACAATTAAATGCTTTGGAGACAAAATTAAAAAATACAACCTAATAAGAAGTAGCTAGGTGCAGGACTAAGTAGGCTTAATACAGGACAAACACGAAGGAACATTCATTTTTGCTAATCATATGTATTGAATAGGTATAATAAGATATGGGTTGGACTGATTGAACTGTTAGAGTAAGATACTGTACATTATATAATTATATCAAATCACTGGTATAATATGTTAATAATGCTATGTTAACAATAGATTGATGAACCCAGCCTCTTCTACAACTCTTTAGATATCAATACTGCGTCCTTCACTGTCACATAATATTTCCAATTACTTGGTGTCATATCATATTTGTATTCCACATCATAAAAGTATCCGGATATTTTTCTGGCCACCATTAAAATATCCCCACTAAAGTATTTGCAACCCGGCTTGTAAAAGGTAAATTTGAGGAAGACAACACAAATATAGTTATAGGTACCTGTACAGGTGTCATGGTGACTTAAGAAGGTAAACTGTGCATCATTACCAGTAACTTATATATATATACTATTACCCATAATAAGAATTATTTCATTAGCCATGAAAGAGTTTATGGGTTCTAAAATTTTGAGATTTCAAATTTCAATTTTTTTTCAGGTTTTTAAATTTTATCCATCCTGAGAAGTGTCTGAAGCAGTGAGTATTTGTTTTGATATGGTCCTTTGAGTAATTGTTTACAATTGAGATTAGTGTTTGTTAATAATCTACAATTCCACCATTACAACTATCAAAATATTTACTGGACTTATCAGCTCTCCATATATTCATCATTTATCTATAGACCTGTCAATTGATTATCTCACTACGCTGACCTATGTATGTAAACTCTATACTGCGTATGTATCTGATTGTCGTATGTATCAGGTCAGATATTTATAACTACAAATAAGTCCAAATTTCATCAGGTACAATGATCACTGCATAATCAGCCCTGTGTTTTTGGCTTTTATTTACCTGACTGAACAGGTTTTAAGAACATGTGATTGAATGTTTTCTTTAGTACTGATTATTGTCATTACGCACATCATTACAAGGTAAGAATAAATTGGAACTTAATTCCTTTATGTAGTAACATGATAACTGACAACAGGTTGCATGACAGATCATTTTTGAAAAATCATATTTTGGGATGTGTTTTGGATTTGATATGTCTAAAATTTCAAGTATGTATATAATTACTGAGCCGGACTTCGGTATAATATTGCTGACTGATCAGGAAAATGCTATGCACAAACTGTATACACACGGACTGTGTGACTACATTCATACAAATTTCATACAACATATGCATTAGTGATTCACATGATGTCATAATATGATAGTCATCATTATTTTTTTCTCATTGACGATAGGATTGTGTGTCGTTTACTCTAATACTTAAGAAAACGCCATGTTTTCATCACCAAGACAACAACTCCATTTCATTCTAGTTTAGGAAAAAAAAAATTGGTGCATACTTTAATAAAAAGATTGTTTTATTTATTTATATTATGTAAATGCTTCTATCAGTGTTAGTTCTGGTACAGTAATATTATTTCTCATTTCAAAAGTGTGTGTAGATGTGACAAAGATTGCACAAAAGACACCAAAGAGAATAGCACCATTTAGTAATTTAGAAGTCAGATACAGTTGAGTCAAGCAATGAATTAACCTGCATCATACAGCTGTTTCTTCTTGCTAGGACTCCTCAGTGATGCTCAGGGCCTTTTTATTTTCACATTTTTTATTTCTCTACTAACAATGTAATTGTTATGTAGTTTATAAATATACATATACATATATATATATATATATATAAGGATGCATTTTTCATAACCAAACTGCTATACCTGTATATCTCAAACATGACCTCCCTTTTAAATAAAAATAAAATAAAAACATTATCACACAGATGAGTTTTTTTTCCAAAATGATGATGCAGTTCATTTTCAGAACCACGTAAGCATAAGAAATTTATCAGGGACCTTCAACTGTCAATGTAGGACTATTACATGTAGTATTAATTACACAAACCTATATATTTGCATGTACAGGATACATATGTACATATAGCTGGTTGCTGCCAATTAAAAGCTGATATGATTTTCTCAGTTGAAAGCTTAATTCTGTAAAGATGGTTTATCAATAAAACAAGAAAAAAAAACAAGAAACAATCATATCACTGAAACTAGTGAATGCATCCAGAAAACAACTACATTTTTGGACACAAAATTCCAATAATGTACTGCATACACCAAGTTACACAATCCTAGTTTAACTTCAAGCAAAGTGATGCCATGGAAATAAAATCCTCACAAGGGGAAATAACACTGTAATTGAAGAGTTACAGGTCCTGAGTTTGATTTTTTATTTTATTGAAGGTCATATAAGTACAGCCAAGTAATGCATACACCAAGTTTTGTGATCTTTGCTTGACTGGGCAAAATAAAAAGAAAGTTTTCAGTAAATCTTTTCAGTACGTTTTCAAGAAATGCTTCTAGATTTCAATACTAGACAACCACAAGCAACTTTGACTTACTTTATTATGTGATGAGAACAGACTGATAACAAAGAATAAATAACATTGTTAATATTTCAAGTTATTTATTTCAGAGCAACGTGTATTGACTAATTATATAATGTGTAATTTCAGATTTTTTTTATCTTAATTAAATTAAGCATACAGCTTGTAATTCAAAAACATGATAATAGTTAGCAGTGAATTCGTTGTTCAATATAAGCCTATAATTATATGCTTTTATCAATTCCGGAGTGCTGGGTTCATAATCAAGATAATCTGACACGATTTGGCATTTGCACCGTTAATTTGCATTTTCCCTTTTCAACGCAATATGGCATTGTTTTCACTGCATCTAAACAATAATTACAATGGCAGACATTTATCGTCACTCAAATAGAATATAGAGTTACATTAAAACGTTACGCAACTTACCCGTTTGATTTCTCGACTGTTTTATAAATAACGGAGTCCGTAGTTCTGTTACTAGTCCGACATGTTGATAACCTCTGACCCACCGGGAAAAGTTCAAAGGTCAGGCCTAGTAAACAAAAAAATGTATACAGAAACAAATTACTATAACATAGAGACAAAATTATCAAAAAATAACAAAATACGCATTTCTGAAAATTAGGTTATTGTTTTCAGCATTATTGTACATTTCAAACGTAAATTCCTCGTTAAACATATTTAACAGAAGGGAAATGGTACGGCGTCTTTGGCGCCCCCTACCGATTCCGGCCATTTTGGATACTGCGGCGGTAGGTTTGTTGATAGTAAGGCTATCGATTAACATCACGATCATGATTCATCTTATAATGTCCCATCTGTATTATTTGTGCTAAAGTGATATTTCTGAAAACAAATTTTCTATAATTTATTCCGGTTATGCTTTCCAAATGTTAAAAATCCTTCCGTAAACTTTACTTACGCCAATGTTTTGATCATTCGGGTTTTTGTATTTCGCAGTTTGTTGTCTTGTTTTTTGTTTCACAATCCTAAGGTGGGGTTGTCGACATATATGCCAGTTACGTGTATATTATGTGCTCTTAATTATCAGTTATTCATGAGTTATTGTCTCCCAATATATTAAAACTGGAACAAACGTTTCAAATTTTGGAATCAAACAAGGGAGGTAATGCTGAGCACGGTGCTGTTCTCATTGTAGACCAAAAGTTTCCGTCTCTAAAGTGATAATTTAACATCAATATTCATATTTATTATGCTATTATTTATATAAACATGTTTACTGATGTTGCCTTCTTTAATTACAACGTATAAAACAGCAAAAAGTATTTGTAGACCGTCCTAATTTTATAATGGCTGACGAACTTGCAATTCTCAGATCTTTCCACTAAAGTCGATGGAACGTCAGTATAATAACAACAAAACTTGCATGGGCCATTGATTGCAAACTTCATTTTTTTCAGATCCAGCAGATTTTTCTTCAAATCAACACATGAAATTGACTTTGCATATTTCGTACCATTTGCGTTGTAAAACGACTCGACCCTGTTGAATATTGAGGTTCCTTCGTGAATTTTTGTATTGAATGACATTTTTGCGACATGGCGACAGCCAAAGTTGATCAAAATTCCAGTAATCATCACTCCATTCCAATGGATGGGATCAAGGCTGGCAACAGTGATGGTAATAGGTAAGATACACTAAATACTAGGGTCAGTACAAACTGACTGGGTACTCCTATAACATAAGAGGACGCTGGTCGGCCGATTTATTATCTGATGTTATTGTGCCGACTGCGACCTCTTATTTCCCAAGCACTATTTCTTTGATGCTCGTTCCGCCCTCAAATCAGGGCGGAACGTAAGATTCAATTTTATGTCTATTTATGACTTAATACTTGATGACAACAATGTGTACTTACAGTTTAGGTATTAATTATCCCATATGAACGTCCAAACCATGAATTAACACCATATTAATAATAATATGCTTCGAAACACACTCCTACAACATTAAGCCGCTTCGTTGACCTATCTTTCGAAAATGGCTGCCGCGGTCGGTACAAAATGCGGAATAGAGTATCAAGCGGAATAGTTTGCTAAATATATCACAAACGGAAAAGCTTTTTTTGCATTGTGTATTCCATTTTTGTATTTACCGAGCAGTCACGTGGTATTTATAATTTCGGTTCTAATGTTGTATCAGCTTATCCACGGAGATGTTAAAATCATTTTTTTATGCTGTTTTCTCTTATCAACCTGGATTTTATAATGGATTTTTCAAAGAGAGGTATTAACACGACATCGCTGGTCATTTAAATGTAAGTAAAATTGATAAATAATGCTATAATCGGAACTTTGATTATTGGCCTGTCAGCATCGGGTAAATCGCCTATGGGAAGTTAGAGGTTACACGGCACCTATCAAAAGTGTCTCGCCGTGTAAAACCTCTAACATTGTTGGAGTAACTGACTGGGATGTCACACTACGTCGGTATATAGCACAGTGTGATGGATCTATCAAACTATTCCCTAGTGATCCCAATTTCTCTTTCCCTGGACAGGTATAGCCACTGTGTTTTATTGTGAGGTTAGATTTCCTTGTCTTACCCTAGTGTTGAGACGGGATTGACTGACATTAGACCAACAATTCAATCACATCAACAATACAAAGCATTTGGACAACAGAAATACATACTAGTCCCTTATCAAGTCAGCGGGGTAGGAGAAGAAATAATTATTCACCCCCATGTTAGTGAGATGGGAAAATCCCAACCCTCCCGAAAGGATGATGTGGTTTTTGTCTGCACTCTTTCATCATATTCAATAGCTTAGAGAATTTATATTCATTATAGGAAGGGCATACCTGCTGTTTTGGTGAATTGCTTTCAACTTGCTTCCATTAAAGTTATGATTTGGCAAAAATGAAGAGTCTCACTTGTAGGCAGAGGGCTTGTATACAGATGAATATGGCATTTGAATGATGTTATCTTATCTTCGAAGTGTTGTAGGCATAAAACTTGTTTATGTAGGAACTGTTGTCATAGCAATTTGAAAATGGGAATATTATAACAAATCATGTACTCATCTGAAATTGTGCGTTTTTTATTTAAATGTACATCTTCCTTTCAGCATGTAACTAAAATGTGGGATATTGTTTTAATATCCTATAAGATATAATTTGATAGATCTACCAGTTTATGTTATATCCACTTCTTTCAATGAGTTTGAACATGAATTGTTGCCATTTTGTGAATGTCATTTATCTTTCTTTTCAGTGACCAAGGTTGGAAGAGTAAATTGAATCTTCCCCCTAAAGATACCCGTTTAAAGACTACAGTGAGTATGAAAGAAAAGATAAATCTAGAGAAAAAAATTGAAGTTGTTGTAGTTTTAATCATTAAGATATGCTGAACTGGTTTAAATTTAGCTTTCTCATTTGCATATACCTGTAATTTTAATCATGATGTGCTTGAAATCAGAATTTTTTATTTTTTACCATACATTTTTTCAAAAATGAAATGTATAAGCTAGTTTTTTTTTTACACTTCAAATGTACTGCCTAAAAGTTGTTACTACCTGAAACATACCAAAAAGTAATGATGTTGATGTAACATAATGCTGTAAATTAAAAAAAAATTGTGTTACTTTAGGATGTTACAAACACTAAAGGAAATGAGTTTGAGGACTTCTGCCTAAAGCGGGAGCTCCTTATGGGTATATTCGAGAAAGGCTGGGAACAGCCATCTCCTATTCAAGAGGCCAGCATCCCAATTGCCCTTACAGGGCGCGACATTTTAGCTCGAGCTAAGAATGGAACTGGAAAAACTGGGGCATACACTATCCCAATCATAGAGAGATGTGACCCCAGTCGCAATGAAGTACAAGGTATGTGTGAAAAAACGATACTGTAAACATACTTATTTTGGCACAATCAAATTTCACAAGTGTAATATCAATTTGGAGCAAATAATAAGAAAATTGATAAAATTCTTGCATCTACAAAAAAATGTTATTTTAAGAAAATACACAAACTACAATTAACAATCATATTTTAGCCTGATATGTTTAACTTGAAAAATGCTACAATAAGATTACTACTAACATATGTAATCAGTTTGTTGTGTTAACAATAAGCCTCAGTGTCTTGTTAGTAGTAATGACCGCCAGTGTAATCAGTAACAGGTTTACAATTCCTCTCTTCCAAGGAAGTGAAAATTATTTTCCTTAAAAGGGATCGCTAGAAAATCATATGAGAAAAACGAGTTAAATATTATTGTAATGGATTTCAAAAAGAATTACAGGCCTCCACCCATCAATGATGAATACATAATTTCAGTTCTGCTTCTGAAAGCGTTGATGACAATTTGTTCTGATCAGATGGGTAAAGAATTGATCCTTTAAATGTTTTTGGTGTGGGAGTTAAATGTTATCAAAGTACCTTGTACCAAGAGAAATATCTTGAATAACAATAAACAGAATGATAGTTTGATATAAATCAACAATACCTTTATTTTTCAATTTAACATTTCATTTTCCAAACGTCACTGTTTTACTTAATTTGAATTCTTTTTTCTGAATTTGATTGAATTATTTAATTTGCTCAAATCAATTGCATTTGCTGTTGGTGCAATGAATGTATAATATTGCAGACTTGGCATGAAAAGAAAAGACCTGCACATACAAATTTTATTGTTATTTAGAATGAAAGATTTTGAGATCTAGTTTGAAATTGTTTTTTGTAATGATGACTTTGAATAACAATGACCTGTTATCTAAGTATATAACATTATCCTGACCAATTTACCCTTTTTTCTGGCGTAATACAGAAAGGTTTGTATTACTTTATAGACCTTAAATGTCAAACAGAATTCAGAAAACATAGCTTCAGTGAACAAAACAGTTGTTTATTTTGCATTGCAGCCCTTGTGATAGTACCTACCAGAGAACTAGCCCTACAGACAAGTCAGATTTGTATTGAGATCAGTAAACACATTGGATGTAAAGTGATGGTCACAACAGGAGGAACCAATCTTAAAGATGACATTATGAGATTATATGACCCAGGTAAGTCTGAAACTGTATCCAAAACAAAAATGGACAAAAGAATCAGTATTATTTTCTTAAAGGTAACTATATGGGTGCTTTGCTAATATCCTTGGCTTCTCACTGATGCCCCTCTACAATTCTACCAAGCCAGCAATAGTGATCCATGGACTGTTTCAGTATTGTTGGTGAAGAATGAATTTAACATTTAATCAAAATATGAAAGAAAATTATGTAATTGTTTCCTTCAATGAAAGACTGTTATAAGTTGATCAGCTTAAGGTTTTGAAAGAATGTTTACATTGTTGAAAATGAGACAACTGGTTGCAATAGCCACAGAGGTCAGTTTATTTTCATTTTAATTCTAAATAGCAACAGCGTGATTTAGCTTACAGGTTTTGAAAGAATGTTTACATTGTTGATAATGAGATAACTTGTTGCAACAGCCACGGTGGTCAGTTTATTTTCATTTTCGTTCTAGATAGCAACAGCGTGATGACTTGTCCTACTCGCTGATTATCCTTTTGTTTAAATACTTTGGCACTAACATGTCTTCTTTTTTTTCAGTCCACATTATCATAGCCACACCAGGCAGAATTCTAGACTTGATGAACAAACGATTAGTAAAGATTGGGAAATGTGGCATGCTGGTTCTGGATGAGGTATATTATATTGGATTATCAAGAATAACAAATCATTGTAGTCTTGTGAAATTTTGCAGTTGTTTGTCTCTATTCTTGTTATTTGTGCTTGTTAGTGGAGTATTTATCAAGTTATCTGTACTTGTTTGATGCAGTCGTTTATTTCGTGTTGTCACATATGTACTAATGTGAAGGATTCAAAATTGCTGTTAAAAATATATATTGAAATCTTATAACAAAAACTTTACTGTAGATCATCAAAAATTTCCCAAAGTCATTATCTTGCAGGAACAGGCATCTTATATATAACAAATCTGTTAAAACCAAACGTCCTGAAATCCAGTAATATTTATCAGTTCTTAGAAAAGTTTTCAGGACATGCTACATGTTTTACATAAAGTTGGGATGGGGAACATATCTTTAGATTAACTAGGAATATGATGCACAAAGATTTATGGAAAAATACATTTTGAAGTGATATTCTGATGACCAAAAGTATCCATGATTTGATACACATGTACTAAAACCAAGTCAAAATGATTAACTATGATAACCAAGATTTTCATCCGTTCCAGGCTGACAAACTGCTGTCTCAGGATTTCAAGGGGATGTTGGACAGTATCATCGGCCACCTGCCCAACAACAGACAAATACTCCTGTACTCTGCTACCTTTCCGCTCAGTGTTGAGCAGTTCATGGTAAAGCTTTATTCAAATTTCATTGGTAATAGTAAAATTTCAACACCCACCCCTGTGTGTTGGAAGATATATTTCTTTGCATCAACACACATGTATATGTTAATGTGTCTATATATATATATATATTGATGATTGTAAATTGATCTGTCATAGAGTCCCCAGTCATTCCCATATTGATGATGAATACCCATTTTCAGTTCTGCTTCTGAAGATATTGATGATGCTTGTTCTGATGGTATGGGAAGTGTTAAATTTGATATTGTGATGATGATTGCATTAGTTGTACCAACATTTTAACTGATTATATCCACAGGGTACTGTTGCTAAAGAATTTGATTGTTTGTGAGTCACTTAACTGTTGTTTTCAAACAGTTCCTGCACTCATTTTGTTTTACCTTTCCTACCAATGTATGTTCCCAAAACTTTTCTAGTGATCTGCAACTCGCAGAGGGATATAGGTCTGCCACTTAATTCATAGTTTAAACTTCATTTATAAACACTTTGCTTGCAAAGAAGTTTGCAGAAAAGATTAAAAGTGTCTTGAAAAAAGTGTCTTTATTTGATAATTGAACATGATATCTGCTAACAATATTGTCTTGTTCCTTCCTTTTTTTTAATTTCTGAAGTTAAATTCTCAATTGCCTAAAATATTGGCTTCGTAGCTTATATCTTACTATATAATAAATACGTCGTAAATTGCCAAAACACATATTTCTTTGTCTATAATAATTTCTGATTTGCTTCATAACAATTTTTTCCCCAGATCAATGCTTTATCACCTTAACACAGATTACTTTATCTACTAAATGTTCTCATAATGATTTCTGAAGTGCATCCAAAGTGAGCTTCCTCTGGCCAAAGCTTCCTACAGAGTATGATGAATACCACATTTTCAGTTCTGCTTCTGAATATATTGATGATTCATGTTCTGAGTCTGTTGGAAATTTACTGGTTCTAGGAACATCTCTTTTGATACATTGAAGTAGTAGTCGGTTAGCTTTTCTAAATATATTAGCACAGATGTGTTATATGATATCACCATCCTTTGTTTGTAACTTCTATAATACACAAATTTTGCCCCAAGCAAGTTTGATGGTAGCCAGAAGTTTTCACCAATCCTACATTAATTTCTGTTTTGTGTTGGGTAGAGAACTGTTTTTTTGTTTCCCCACATAAGACATACTTTAAAATCATTAGTCAAAGGGGATTTATTATCATGATTTCATGGGTACTTCATTTTGTGAATTCATATTTCTACTGAATATTGAAGTGAGTACAAGTAGATTTATTAAACTGTGTTTATCCACAAAATCAAGTGTCCACAATTTTGTTTTCCAAAACCCACAACAATATATATTACAATAACTAAATGTGGGGTTAAGGTTTTGCATCTTTGTGATTCTACCTATAACTAGGCATTGTCTCCACATAATGAGGCTAGCATAACCAAAGTGATTTACCAAATATTGATATATGTCCTATTTCAGTCTTTTGTAGCAATTGTAAACTCTTCTCTTTTTAACAATATTAGGAATATTTTTCCAATTTTATTAAAAAAAAAAAAATCCATTTTTCCCAACCAATATCCAGGTACAGCCACTGATTTTTGTTTTTTACTTTATTTAATAAAAGTAAGAATTATCCTGCATAAGATTTGATGTGCTTGATGGATTTTGTCTCCCATTGATTGTGATGAATACACCATTTTCAGTTCTGCTTCTGAATATAATGATGATTCTTGTTCTGATGTCATTAATGGGATCAAAATAATCAACATAATGATTAATAAGTTCTGAAAATGTACAAGCATATACTAATTGGAACTTATGAAAATGATTGAAATAAATACAGTAATTTTCCAAACATTGATATTGATAAATGTCTTATTTCAGTCTTTTGTAGCAATAATAAACTCTTCTCTTTTTAAAAATGAGGAAAATATTGGGAATATTTTTCCAATTTTATAAAAAAAAAACCAAATTTCCAATTTTCCCACCAATATCTAAGTACAGCCACTGATTTTTTATTTTTACTTTATTTAGTGAAAGTAAGAATTATCCTGCATAAGATTTGATGTGCTTGATGGATTTTGTCTCCCATTGATTGTGATGAATACACACCATTTTCAGTTCTGCTTCTGAACATAATGATGATTCTTGTTCTGATGTCATTAATGGGATCAAAATAATCAACATAATGATTAATAAGTTCTGAAAATGTACAAACATATACTAATTGGAACTTATGAAAATGATTGAAATAAATACAATAATTTTCCAAATATTGATATTGATAAATGTCCTATTTCAGTCTTTTGTAGCAATGGTAAACTCTTCTCTTTTTAAAAATGAGAAAAATATTAGGAATATTTTTCCAATTTTATTAAAAAACAAAAATAAATACTGAGAATAGTTATCTTTGATTTTCTCACTTCAACATCAAAGCACCTTTGTTTGGAATTTCCTCCCAAACATAAAAAAAATCCTATGAATCCTGGAATAAAAAACAGAGATACAGTTTCATGTATTTCTGAGGCTTACCATACAGTTGTATTGTTAATATTGTTGATAATTAGACTACAACACAACATCCTGTTGGACTGCATTATGAAAATAAATAAGAAAACCTTAGTTATGATCAGTCCACAAGGGGAAGATGAAAACATCGATATCATAATCACGGTGATTGATGTAAGGGAGATAATCCTACAGATATGATGAACACAACATTTCAGTTCTGCTTCTGATGGTTTTGATGATGCTTGTTCTGATGTAGGATGATTTATTTAAGGAAAAAGAAACCAGATGTCATGAAATATTCTCTATGAATGAAGTAATCTAACAAATTTGTAAACATATCCTAGCTACAGAATCATTCATTTTTGGTTTATTCAAGACCATTAAACTGTTTCAATACTTTAAGCCCTGTGCTTTAAAGTAATTTTGTTAGGACTATCTTTCCAACATAGACAACCTTAACAAATTCTGGGTGTAGAAATAGAGAAGAAATTTGATGTATTCCTAATATAAGCTATTTTGATAATTGTTAAAAATTTGTAATATGTTAGGAATAGGCATTTTATGTATTTGTTTTTCATGTTGGTTTGAAATAACTATAGGTTAATCTGCACTGATGAAAATACGAACATGTTTAACAAAAATCAAAAGATAAACTATGACGCGTTTTAGCCAATCCTACAGATATGATGAACACAACATTTCAGTTCTGCTTCTGATGGCTTTGATGATGCTTGTTCTGAAGTAGGATGATTTATTTAAAGAAGGCTTCAGGTCATAAATGTTCCTGTTTTTTTTATTTTTAATATGACATAATCTATAACACATTGATTGTATTACTGTTATTATTCTTTGTAGGAAATATTTGGTTGATGTAGCAAACATGGATGGATTTTTGTTCAAGTAGAGCAAAATTCACAACTTTGTGAAAAAGACTATTTTTGATTAGATTTATAAAGTTTTTTTTCAGTTCTTTTTATGGTTAAACAAATTCTCAATACTTTTTACAGAGGAAGCACCTTGACAGTCCCTATGAAATCAATTTGATGGATGAATTAACATTGAAAGGAGTTACCCAGTATTATGCTTTTGTTCAAGAGAAACAGAAGGTTCACTGTCTCAATACACTGTTCTCAAAGGTAAGTGAACCAAGTAGGAAAATGATGCCATTTGTAGATTAATGGATTTATTTTAATTGATTTTGTTCTCTGATTTTAGTTGAAATCTTTGTACCATTAGCGTTTGGTTCCTTTTGATTCCATTAGAAATCAACTCTTAATAGCAAGTGTCCTTTAGCAGGTTCAGATGAAGAACATGTCATCAGTGCAGCCCCTAATTTGCAGTTTTGCAGGGAAATGCTCAGATTTTTCCAATATTGATTGAAAAAAGACAAATTCAAACTTGCATCAGCTCAGACTTACATTTTTAAGTCACCTGAGACAAGGTCTTATGGTGACCTATTCTAATACCCTTATTCGGCATTGTGCATCTGTAAATAATTTAACACTATCAAGTTCTCAAAAACCTGATCCAATTTCAATGAAATTTTGCAGAAACCTTTCCTGTCTAAGATGAACCAACATTGTGAATTATACAGTCCCCATACCCCAGGGGCCTGAGGGGCATGGCCAAAAGGGGTCAAATTGACTCATATTTCAAAAATCTTCTCAAGAACCAAGTACTCTTCATGTATGAAAGCATCTTAAGGTGCTTTACCAAAACTCTGAATTTCATGGCCCCAGGGTCTCACATTTCCCCTTGGGAGGGGTAATGTTTACTATTGGTTATAGAGGAAAACTAAATTTTTGAGCGTAATTTGTATATTTCCATTGAAAATATTTCAAACTTGGTTAGAATTATAGGTGAAGGATGATAGGTTTATGGTATGCCCGTTTTGTGTTACTGACTGACCTCCATTGGCTATTTGGCTGGGCAAACATGGGTCAAATTGACTTAAATTTCAAAAAATCTTCTCCTCAAGACTCAGATATGGTAAAATCAAATACTCTTTGCATGGAAGCATTGTAAGTTGATTAAATTATCAAAATGAGTCTCACATTTCTTCGTGGGGGATGGGGGACTGTATAACTTTGTAAAAATGATCAATATATGTTGACAGTTTTGATAGAATGCATGTATTGACACTGTCTATATTCAGTGTAACAATTTCTGTTTCATGACATTTGATAACTCTCCTTTATATTTAATATTGCTTATCTCAGGTGACCATCATGGCCGCTAGGCCTCTTGTGTGTCATATCATATGTTGACCTCCACAATTAGGTAATATTTATACCAGTGCCAGGTAAAGCTGGAGTTTCACACAAAGTGTCCCTCTTTATACCACAGATAAGACGATTTTAAGTACTTCGCTAAAACCAACTGTTAAATTTGCTGTTCTGTTTGTTTTTAGTTACAAATCAACCAATCTATCATCTTCTGTAACTCAACAAATCGTGTAGAACTTCTCGCCAAAAAGATCACAGAACTTGGCTATTCATGTTTCTACATCCATGCAAAGATGAACCAGCAACATAGAAATCGTGTGTTTCATGACTTCAGACAAGGACTCTGTAGGAATCTTGTGTGTTCAGGTAAGAACACGGCCTCTGTACAAATAGTAGTCCATGGGGACCTCTCAGGAATCCTGTAGTTATTCTGAAGTCTTTTGTATAACGTTTGCATGCTAAACTGCAACCAATGCAGATTGTAAGAAGTTTGATGAAAGTATATATAGCATGTTGGTATGTTTGCATGTTTTATTTTTTAATTGAACAAAAGTAAATAATTTTTGGTACCCCAGAATGGATGTTAGTTATAAAAAATTCTTGCTGCTCTTTGTAGCTCATGTTTTTTCCAGATTAGAATTAGGGTCAAGTGAGGATCTTGATCACTTAAATGTTTACAAAAAAAGTTTTAAGGATATTTAACTTTTAAAGGAATATTGTCTCCACTGTTGATCTTATTTAGGCAATACATAATCTTGTGTTAGCCAAAATTTTCAGTTCCAGTTGATTTCATAACTCCTTAAAAGTAAATAATTCTATAATATGATATTACTTTCAGATTTGTTCACAAGAGGAATTGACATCCAAGCTGTGAACGTTGTCATAAACTTTGATTTCCCCAAACATTCAGAGACATATCTCCACAGGATAGGTAGATCTGGTCGATATGGCCACCTCGGAGTCGCAATCAACCTCATTACTTATGATGACAGGTATGTAGCACTTTAATTTGGTTTCTAATTATACATTTTACTGCATTTATATATCTTGGATGTAAAAGTTATATATCATGTGGGTTCCCTCTTGACACTGTTGATGCTTTAAAGCTTTTCTTTCCATGGCTCTTTATTTGATGATTTATGTATCCCATTTACAGCTTGTTGTTTCCCTTTGCACAGATGATGGTATGAAGGATTCCTTTCCATCACTGTATAATTGTATTGTTTATCTATGAATTGTCTAGGTGTCCGCTCAGTGTTCCTTCAGTTGAGTCTTCGTCTGATACTATTGTTCATGAAGTTCTATTAAATTGGTTCTGTTTTTTGCAGTGTTTGTTAAATACAATAGTTTGATTTTCTTGAAATGTTCCAGTCTGTAAGTAGATCACATGTTATTTGATGTGTTTGTAGGTTTTCATTACACAGAATCGAGAGTGAGCTGGGCACGGAGATCAAACCAATCCCCAAAAATATAGACAAATCCTTATACGTGGCAGAGTTCCACCAGGAGAGGGATGATGAAGATGAGGCCCCACACAACTCCCATGGGGCAAAGGGCGGACAGTGATCTGTTACGTCAGCAACATTTCTCCAGGTCATAAACATGCTTTGAACTGTGGTACAGACAGCAGTGTATTCCTGGCAGATAAATTATTTGTTTGAGACTTCAGTACTTTTACTTTGAGCTGGTAGTATCTGGTCAGCTTCTCGATAATGGATCAATATTGCTGTGGCAAGTCAGGTCTTTCTAGAGGTGTTAGACCAGTCTCATCTTACCATTGGAGGACGGACAGTGTTTGTTGCCAAACGAGTATACATCAGATGTGAGGGTGGCCTACAAGACAGAAGTAGGAACAATGCCTCTCAACCATGCTGGATTCCTTCCTTATATCTATACATAATTGTGTGCATAATGAGGATCATATTTTTGTCCAAAAGAGTAGTGCTCATTTCAATATGTCTATACAGCAGAAATTTTGGATTGCTTATCAAGATGAATAAGTGCTCCCAGGAATTTTTTTATATGAAATGTTCTCAATGTTTTGTTTGGAAATATCTTTACTAGACCGAAAATGTGGTTACAATTATTTCATTCAAAGAAGAAATGAACCTCAGACAAAAAAATCAAAATAAGTTATTAAATGCTAATCCTTGTTGTAGGAGGAAAGAATTTAATTGATATAAAAAAAAAACAGGATTTCTAAAGGCAAGAGTAATGTTAGATAATCAGTCATGATGTATCAAAATTAATTTAATTGGAGAGAATTTTGAATTGTGACGATAAAGGAATAATTTTAATCCTGCAGCTAAGTTTGAAAATAAAAAAAATGTTCTGTAATATAAATTGAAAGGCACATATTGTCTAAAGACCAATTAGCTTGCTGCTGGCTGTACTTGACCAGTCAGACATAGAGACAAAATCCTGAGGATGTACGTAATGTTGGTGATATATAATAACTGTTAGAATTTTGTACAGTTTCAGGCAGGTCTGTCTTTCACTGCCTGTTATGGTAGACTGCAAAGCAGCGACTGTCATATCAACGTTTGTCCATATAGGACATTTGTTTTTACTAAGTGAACATTTTGTCGGTGATATAGCTATCTAGAACCCCATCCACAACTACCAACTCATCACTACCATTGTAACCATGAGTGTGAATGTACAAGGGAGCAGAGAGTGAGGGAAACAGAGACCTGTGATTGTAAGTTTGTGGTATTTTGACTGCTTTTTTATTAATGTGTCGGAGTATAGAAATTATTCTGTTTACGGTATGAACTAACCAAACTTCCTAATCAAAAGGGAACAAAGATAATGTCTTGAAAACATAGTAAATCAGAGTATTGACAGGAATTTTTCATATTCGGCAATAAGTTGGAAGCGCTGTATTAAGAAATAATTGTGAAATCACTTTTTTCCTTCAGTATATTTTTCATAAACTACTCGACTGAAATGATGTGCCAAAATTTGCTAAAATCAAGGTTTTGTAATGCTCCAATCAAGCTATTCCCTATTAGTTTCTGTATACTAAATGAAATATCCATTTTTTTTTTCTTGAGATTTCAAACAATTTTGTGAGTGTAAAGAACATTTTTTAAAATGAATTAACAGTACATATTATCAAGATATGTTGTTTACAGATGAATAAGATCAAAGATTTATTTTAGAAATATTTGAACAGAATTAAGTCAGATTTTTCGTGGAAAATTCTCCACAAAATTTGGTGCATTATATTATGGCCAGCACTTCACAAGAGAATGTTGCAGATTTTTAAGAAGAACGTTTTTCTCTCCAAATAGCATGGTGTAATCTAAGTATTGTTATTGAATTGAAAGTGATTTTTTTTCATCATTTTTTTCCCTCTTTTTTATTTATTTTATTTTTTCGTCAACATCAGTGATGTCAAAATCTTTATTATTTATTTATTTCTCAGACATAGATGATATACTTAGACATGCCTGGAACTGATTTGATGATTTTCGTTCTCAGATAAGTATCTTTTAGATCTACACAGTTAAGATTAGAATCAGTTTCATAGAAATATCAACAAAATGATTTTCTTGTGAAAATAAGAATAATGGCTCAATATGTTAATTCCTGTCATTTGCCTTGAGATTTATCGTAGCACTGCTGATGTTACAAATGGGATTACATGGATTTACAGAAATATACTACAAGTTGGCATAGGCACCATTGGAAAGGTATGCATTTGGATCAGATAAGAAAGACACTACAAGTATGATATTACTCTTAAGACAGTTTTTGTCCTTTTAAATGTTTAGTGAAGAAATCTAAAGTTTATTATTAGTTTTGAATGAGCAGAATAAGTCATTATATTATATTGATGGACTATTCAAAATTCATATCATTAAGGTTCTAATGTTTGGTCATGTTAATTTTTTTTTTTCTGAACTTCTGCTTGGAATACTTTCCTTTTCAATTTTCCTTTTCTTTCTCTTTTTTTTTTTTTTTTTTATGAACTCCAAAATATGGCAGCTATTTTCTCGTTGATATACTGAAATGCAAACAAAAGGGGAAAAATTATTCAGGTCATCTGCCGACACAATTTCAGACTTGTATTAATACAATCAAGCTATGAATACCACAATATATCATAAGGTATGGTGAAAATATGAGAATGAATTATTCACTACACTGTGGTAGGTTGGGATGTATGTGTTGTTCTGGCCATCCTTAAGGTATTCTTTGTTTGGCATTAACCAACCCCCATTCATGGAGAATTTGGGTTGGTAGATACAGAAATTATTTTATTTAATTGAAGGGAGTAGGAAGGGGTGGGGGTTAGCAAAGATGTGTACTGTATAGCCCAGTGCACAAATCAAAGATAATCACTACTAGGCAATGTCTAGGAGTGAAGACCCTAAGATTCTGGAAACAGCATTCCCAATAAAAAAAAACAAAGTGATTCAATCATTCCCCATATATTTCAGTAAGGGTATACTTTTGGGTCGGTTGGTCAATGCTAAACAAAATATATTGGGATAAAGCCTTGGATGTTGTGTGAGAATATATCATTGGTCTGGACAGTAGTCATTACACCTAATCATTGCCAATAGCTACAGAATTATATTTATACAATGTCATCTGGATGTAGTCATTATATACAACAAGCAGTTCTTACACAGAATGCTCGTCTGTTTTGTGACCTAGACAAAGACACAGCCAGTGCAATTGATGTAAAATCTATAGGAAACTGTTGCATACAATTGGTCTTGTGGCAGATGGTGCTTTGTGTATTTCTCCAGGAACAGTCTGGCCAAATGACTGAACAAAATGGAGTGATCCATAAGGAAAAACTGTGTTCTGATTTAAGCCTTGTAAATTTGAAGAAATGGCTCAGTGATTGTAGTAAACCATGCTTGGTCACAGATAAAAAATTATACGTGGTTGTTTGAGGTTACTCCACCCAGGACTGGACAATGGAGGAAAATGACTGTTATAATCTACCAAGTCTGGTGAAGTGCCAGAAGTTATAGGACTGGGTTGTGGAGAGTGTTGCTTGTTGCCGTCCCCACAACCTCCTAGCTTGCACTATAAAAGTCCAGATAGAGACTGGCATTAAATTTTTAAAAGGCAGCTTGCATACACGGAGGACTGCGCCTTCTCCGCCTGATTCTGCCCATGGAAAAAAAAAGTGATCAGGATTGCATTGTGACTCGCACCGACTGTGGGTTCTAGTAAGCCATAACTGACCTTTGATACAAATGCCAAAACATAATCTACACAGAATATATTAATGCAAAAAAAAAAATGTGGTCAGTTTCCTCATAAGGAGATTGTTCTGTGCTCAGACAAAAAGTGCAGGGATATGTTTGACGTGTGCATGTGTATACTGTGGTTCCATGGAAGGTAAAAAAAGTACATGATCAGAGAGGATATGCTGTGTGCTGATAAAACTGTGTTCCTTATTGTGAGAAATTGTGATTAATGCAAGTTGTATTTTGTGTACATGAAGAAATATGTGGATTGTTCAGGATTTATGTGTGCTATTATGAACTGATTGGGAAGAATACAATGTTTCTGTCTACTATTTTTTTTTCATATCACTGATTTTTTAATACCAGTCAATTGCCAAGTACTGAACCATGCTTACTTAAAACGGAGCAGTGTGGAAACTTAATGTAATTATTATATTTAGATTTATGGTTTTCTTTTTGGGGGAATGGTAAGTTGTATTGAAAATATTTGGGGTGGGAGAGTGTTAAGATATTAATTTTACTGAAAACGTTTATTGATAAAATGTTAAAAAAAAATTTGAAAAGAACAAAAGAGATTGGCTTTCATGATGATTGGTTATTCTTTGTGGCGTTTGACATTTTACAAAACTTCAACAATGTTTAGTTATGGAGACAGAAATGAGGAAATGGTAAGGAAAGTATAAATCATTATTTTTTATCAATATCAAGGATAAACTGTGGTAAGAAATTCCAGTAGCTTTTATTTACTTTCAAAACATTTAAATCAAGGTCTACAGAGGCTAACATTTGGAGTTTGGATGTGATTAACTTGTTATGAAAACATTAGATACGGACAAGTGTATCCTAAAACTGTCAAGTGTCGGACAGTATACCGTTCAATGTTTATCCTTTATTTGACATTCTAATGGTCCCTAGTTTTTGAGTTTATCACCTGTTTTTTAGAGTTATATGTAGCTTATGACATTGACAATAGCTTGTTCGACATTTGACTTGTTTCAGTAGATGTAGCTGGGATACAAGTCTTTGGTTTATATAAGCATTTGGACATCTTGTAAAAAAAATGTCAACTGTTGACCTAGCATTTGTAGGAAGACATGCAGCAAAAATAGTTAAGTGTTATGTGTACATAAGAAAATATCACAATCTTGGACAATGCTGTTAGTTCAACCTGAACCCTTTAGTTTTGATGGATGGCTAGTGCAGATTTATATAGAACTGGCTTCATTTTTCATCAAAATGTTTCAATAACTTGTATATTTGTTTTACATCATGACTTTTTCTCAATTCAATTTGATTTTTTTTTATTGTTTTCTTGCATTAGGTCCCATTTTGTTCACTCAATTCACATACATTGATTCAACAAATAGAATACAGAAGAGATGCTTTCAAAGCTAAAATTTAAATATGGTTTGCATGAAACATGGAAAATAGATGACAATTGGGCAATCAATGGTTGGAGAGTCGTTGTAAGCAGGGATATTGAAACAACCTTAAGTGTCATATCAGCCTTTCAGTGTCAAATGAAGACCACAAACATAGCGGTTAAAGAAGATGCGATTGATCGCAATAAAGACACCAAGGATTCATTGCTATAAAGTGCATTCAGTATTTTAGGTAAAAGCAGTTCCTGTATTAACCTAACCACTGGAGGTGAGGGTCTTTGATAATGCTCAGTTGTATTGAAAGATTACTTGCAACAAAGCTGTAGTGAAATCCATGCACATGATTTAGAAATGTTGTTACGCATAACAGTTAGAATGATGAAAATTAGTCTTTTGTCCACTTGAAGAGTTTCAAAGCTAACATGTTGGTTTGAAAAAGTTACAATGCAATGCCTGTATT